AAAGGGATGAAATCCTCCTGCAGCACGGCAGACAGCAAACGTTTCGCCCTGCTCCTGGGCCCGGATCCGGCTACCAGGTATCATGGCTTCCTCCCTCTCACGAAAGCCACAAGCAGATATCCTAGGTCGTGGGCAAAGGGCGGGGGTCATTTCTGCAGGGTGCGAAGCGAGAGGGAGGGTCTCTCCAAGACGATTTGCTTTCGCCTCTCTCGCATTCTTCTCTTTCCCAAACGAAAGATGGAACCAACAGGGTCGGGATGGTCTTGAGTTGTGGATATGCTGTGCCTCTCTCCCCACCCTGGGCGTATCGTATTTCTCTGTTGATCGTTGTGGGTGTAATTGCATCGTGGTCTATCTTGGGCTTTCGATACAACAGTGTGTCTGCACTGTGTTGTATTGGATGCGGAAGGGGATGTGTTTATTATTCTATCCCCTGTCACAGTAGAGAGTCCACTGTATACAGCCAAGGGAGTTTAGCAAAGCTTCAAGCAATTGAACCACTCTCCCCGGTTGGACTCCACATGCGACGCTTGAATCCTTTGATCGTTTGGATGAAGGAGCCATTCGAAAATTTTCTTGCTCCTCCCGCGAGTCGAGCCAAATCGAGTCAGGGATATCCCAGGCTCCATCCCGTCTTCGAATCCTTTGTCCTTCCCGCTCTCCCTCTGTTGCTCTGCTTTTATGCTCCCTTTATTTCCATGGTATAGTCCCCCTCTTTTGTTCTGCCCCCGTTCTCTCTTGTTCTTTTTCCTCGGTATCTTGACAAATTTTGAGGGAGGCGGCTTCACGACGGTTTCTCTCCCCTGCCTTTGGGCGTGGTCTGGGAGTTGGTGTTTGAGGTGGAAAGTGCCGGCCCTAGTACGGAAGGAAACGGGTTACGACGAGCTTTACGAACTAGCTCGGGCGGGAGTATTAGGGCTTGGGCAGAGAGCATAATCTTGTTTTATGGATCGGACTAGCCCCGATTCGAGCTCTACTCCGAGCTTTGTTTCAACCTCGTCAAATAACACTCTCCGGCCAGGGAGCCGGAAAGAAAAGTAAATCCCGACTGGAGGAGGAAAAAGGAAAAGGAAAAAAAGACTGTCGTCAAATGAAACTGAGACAGCCATGTCTTGACCGGGTTGGCGCGCCACGGTTTTGGCTGCTTCCCACCTGCCATTTTGGTAACAGCGGCGTGTCTTGGGCAAGTGCCAAAAATAAAAAATTTTAAAGTCTTTCCGGCCAGGGTATGCTGTCTCGATTTTTGACGCAGACCCTCGCCCAGAACAATGCAGGGCCACCATGGAGAGAGACGCCTCCTCCGCAAAGCGGGACAAACAAGGAGAGTAATAATACCAGTTATAAATGCTAGTGAAGAAGAGGAACGAACGCGGACACGGGTCCGGCGCGGAACATGGGTGGGGGAAATGAGGCGATCCTTGTGGCTTTTGTTCACTGCATGGCTTGACGACCAAGCTCGTCCTTGTAGGAAACGGACGGAAACTCCGGTGAGAACGGCATAAGCTCCTCCGTTGCGTGCCCCCTGCGAGACGGCATGTTTAAGAATATCGCGAGGCCTCTTTTAATAGTCTAGCCACCAAGCTACCTTGAAGCACGTTCTAAAGTCGCAATCAGGGCAGATTTATCCCCCGTGTCAGCATCTTATCCATGAACAAAATACCAGCGGTCAAGGGCCATGGTAACGCATCCTAAACCTGGAGAGGCCTTCTTCGGTATTGCCTTCTATACTCAGGGTTCCCAATATGCTGGGGTGGCAACCGCTACTCTGCAGCCTTGCCTTTCTTTGGTAAAAGGAACGTCTCTTTTCCGTCTTACACGTCATCGGGGAGTTATCTCGCCATTATGCACGCTACATATAGGTCATTCTTCTCAACCATTTTCTCATCTCTTCATCATCAGTCGATACTTTTGGCGGCAATGGAAGGTTGTGAAGGTCTGAAGCAGGTGCGCTGAGCATTGAAACTACATTATATTTGTGGACACCAGATCCAATAAACGTATACTTGCTCAGCCACCTTCCTTGCTTTGGATTGCAAGTGAATATAGCGTTGTCCTTGGCTAGTACCGAGGTAGGAAGGCACACATCAGGACAAACAAGTGGCTTAGACGGAACAGTGGAGAGTCTCACTTGATATGGTAAACCGTTATATACACCAGCCTCATTGTTGGACTCAGAGTACGTCTCTCCGCAGTAAAGGTTCCCTTTATACCCAGCCCAATCTCGAGTCATACGTTTTCTTCACTTGTCGTTCCAACTGGAGCCTTCTGGAATGATGCGCGATATATCCCTATAGAGATCAAGAGTCGGCACTGGACGCCCACTGGACGTCGAGGTTCATCGCCTTACAACAGTGGTAGAGCCCCAGGTCTCAATTATACATGGACCAGGCAAAGCGTCTTGTCTGGCAGATTCGCGGCGTATTGCCACCTGGAAGCGGGCCGGCATAGGTTCTTGTGTTGAACAACACTTGGCTCGTCACCAGAGATGTTTTGGTGGCTGTCACGCATCAATCCTTCCCCACGAAACAGGGGCTTAGGCCCCCAGGCATGGGCGTTGACGATTTGAACAAGCTTTGACTAAGCTCTGCCAAGGCGGATGGGAGGGCAAGCCACTTTCCGCTTTGTTTTCTTCAACGCCTCAGAACCACGGGCCCAGGGATGCTTGTCGAAAGGGATTCATCATGGTTCGACAAAAAATGCTGCAGGACGTGGGGGAGGAGGAGGAGCCACACAGGGATAGTGAAGGCGTTCAGACCTGTCAAGAAAGCGCCAACGTATGACAAAACCCTCGGAATAAATTCAGTCACTTCTCATTCTCGAACGAGCGGAGATGAAAAAACGGAGGAACTCGCCATCGGCCGGCAGCCCTTTCCACATGCTCGTAAAACCCCTTAGTAATCCAGGCCATGATTTCTTTTTTCCTTGATTAATCGATTGCTTTTTATTTAGCAATGTTTGGTTCCGTTTTGACATCATTGCATTTGCATTCTTAATGACGGGAAAATGACGGGCAGGGATCGACGCTTCGCGAGCATGAAGCGAGTTCGGCTCGAAGGGATCGTTGGTGGAAAGGCCACAATGTCACACATCGAGCAGCGTTGTCTTCTCGCCGGGTGCTTTCGCTTGCGGGAGAAGCCCCGAGGAGCATAGTCGGGCCTCGAAGTTCCTCCGAGCGACGCAGGCCTTATTACAGAGAGCAGGTCAAGACACCAGGGGGTGTGCACCTCTGCCGCCCGAGGAGTCTTGCCAGGTGCAAGCGACATGGGGCAGCGAGGGGTCGCAATTGATTTCACGGCGTGCACCCTCGCCTAGGGCGTGGATGGCGTGAGCACGACGAGGGGCCAGAGGCGATGACGGGGTGAGGGAAAATGGTGAAAGCCAGGGAGAGAAAAGAGACAGGGAATGTCAGAGGGCACGACTCGGCCGAGCTGGGACAAATAATTTCCATCTTGGCAACGATGACATGAATGACGATAAGAAGTGCACTCAAAGCCCTGTCTCGATTATTAACATACGACGAATGATTATTGATTTTTTCGTATCGTACATGGAGGCAGCGTATAGCTCCAAAGGAGCAAAATATTAGGTTCCAGCGCATTAGGTTGGCCAGTAGCTGTGTGTAGCCGGGTTCCCCGAAGAACCCCTCGAAGACAGAAGGATCAGTGAATGGGCGAGGGTATGTCGCATTCGCAACGGCTTTTCTCCTCCCTGGTCGACGTCCTTCTTCCGACCCTCGGCATTCTTTTGATGGGATTCCTTTTCCATACTAGATTGAAGTGTATTCCTATCTATTCTTTGTCCGTCATCAATATTTCCCCCTCTCGAGTCCGTTGATTGTTGGCATGGCAGTCGGAAATCAAAACCGAGCCAAGTCCCCGGCCTACCGCCAGCATGGTATCCAATCTTCATCAGGCTCCAGGATATCATTCCTGCCACGCATCTCCAATGCGCTGACCCAAGCATCTGTCGAAGCCGATGTGAGCTCATTTGTCTTCAATGTGGCTGTCATCCAACCTGAGCCTACAACAAATTGCTGGCGTACTGACTCGCGGGGAACAGCATACTAACCCCGCTACAGCACTTCTGGGCTCAAAATTGATGAATACTAAGGCGATGTTGTCGTTCCACAAGCCGTAGATCTGATCACTTCAATGATGGACGGGCACACAAGCCCCATTCTGCCCTAGCCTGCGGGCCTCCGTCGCCCTGAAAGTGCCGGCTGTCCGCCTTCCCACTAGTGCGGGTCCAAGGACACCGTGCCTGCGTTGGCCAATATTCCATTCCCCTGACTAACCCTATGTAACCCTAAGCCAACAAGACCACGTTCAACCCACTCTGTGTCTGTCCACTCCGAAGGCACTTCCGGCCCTTGAGGCCCTGGAGAAGACCACATACACTATTATTGTGAGGTGAGACACCGTCTAGGCCTCTGTGCAAAGCTGCAGGAGAAGAAGCAATACCCTGTAGGCCTTCCTTGTCCCCCAAACACCAGCTCTTGGATGGCCAGATATGGAAAGCCCACCGCCCAAAGCTCTTCCGCTCCCTCCCTTCTAGGAACGAAGCTCCCCACCTCATACTACCTAGAGGTGGAGAGTTCTTTCTGTTCTTTTTTTTTTCGGGCTCTTCCCTCCCTCAATTACTGCCTACATAATTTGCTGCCCCCTCTCCCTCATTTGCCCAACTCGTCTCTTTCCATTCCAGGCTCGTAATAATTTTGTTTCCTGTCAGCGAAGGATCAACCCCAGAACACACCCAGAAAATCGGCACCGCACCCTTAATGTAATTAATCCTAGACTCCGTATAGTCCCCTCCCTTACAAAAAAAAGAGAGAGAGAGAGAGAGAGAGCCCAACGTGAAACTCGCGCACGCACGCCGACCCGCTTCCCACCGATACGGCGCGCTTACACCCAGAACCGGGACGGACCCTTTCCTCGGCGCGGCTCTACTTTCCTACTTCCCTGCTCTCTTGCCTCTTAGGCATACATCCCCTAGCACCCACCATGCCCGACCAAGCCCCGCCGGACCACCGGCTCCCCGTGCTCATCATGGGCGCGGGGATCAGCGGCCTCGTGCTAGCCCAGCACCTCCGATCTCTTTCCGTCCCCTTTGTCGTGTTCGAGCGGGACTCTGATCTGGCCACGCGCGGCCTCGGCTGGGGCCTCACTCTGCACTGGTCCCTCCCTGCCCTCCGTCACCTCATCCCCGACCGCGTGTATGCCCGGCTGCCCGAGGCCTACGTCGACCGCGCCGCCGTGGAGAGGGGCGAGGCGTCCAGGTTTCCGTTTTACGACCTCAGCACGGGAGAGCTGAGGGCCGCCACGCCCAAGGCACCCGAGGGACAGAGGATCAGGGTTACGAGGGCGAATCTGAGGAGGCTACTTGCCGAGGGCATCGATATCCAGGTAAGACGATACTTTCACATGCTCATCTACGTCATCTTCTTCCATCCGCTGCGCTGCAAGCAAGCCACCTCCTGTTCCAGTTCACACTTCCCCGCTATTTGACTTTGCTTTTTTGTTTGTTTGCTCTTCTTTTGCTTCGTGCTCACCACCAACCAATTTCCCCCATCCAGTGGGGTAAAACCTTTTCCTCCTACGAGTCCACCCCTTCCTCCGTCACCGTGACCTTTGAGGATGGCTCCTCCCGCACGGGCTGCCTCCTCGTCGCCTGTGACGGCGGCGCCTCACGCGTCCGCCGCGCCCTCTTCCCCACCCAGCACGAACGCCACCAGATTCCCGTGCGCACGATGGGCTTCCGCGCCGACTTTTCCCCGCGGGAGATCCGGGCCATCCGGGCCATGGATCCCTTTTTCCTACAGGCGGCCGCGTCTGAGAATGATACGTTTATGTATTTCAGCAGTAAGTTCTTGTCTGTCAAAAAGAAAAAAATTCCTTCACTATGTCCTGTTACCCATTCCAAATTACCTCGAGGAGGGGCCGTGTCCCTTGTATCAAGACTAACATCGGATCTCCCCTGCAACGAAAAGTCCTAAGCGGACCCCGCCATCCCCGCACGCAGAGCAAGAGACCTCGAAACGGCGGATCCAAGGGCCGCGGAGGAAGAAAGAAGCTCTTCAACAAGTACACGTGCCAGATCGTCGTGTCCTGGCCCGACCGGCCGGGCTTCTTCGGCGAAGCGGACGGTGTCGCGTACCCGACCACGGACGAGGGTCGCGTCGGTTTGCTGCACCGGTTCGCCAGCACCTGGGCCGAGCCCTTCCGCTCTCTCGCGCTGGGCATCGGGCTCGCGGGTAAGGGCGGCGCCGGGAGCAAGCGCAGTAGCATCAGCTCTTCGCCGCCTTCCTCGCCCGCCCGCTCGCCTTCCCCGCTTCGGGGTCTTCGGCGTCGACATCTTCGACGGGCGAGGAAGAGCCTTCGAGTAAGAGAGCGCCTCGGGGTGGGGTCGCGACCGAAATTAAGACCATGGACCTGTTTGACTGGCCGCCTCCCAAGGGGCTGAGGGGAACTGGTCGGGTGGTTTTGATGGGTGATGCCATGCACCAGATGACCATGTGTAAGTGCCTTTTTTTTTTTTTTTTTCTTTCCTTCAGCGACCACATATCTTGAGAGCTTTCTAGCCCTCAAGCTCGTGGAGTAGCGAGCAAGTTTCTCGGTCCACATGCGAAAATCTGCAGTCTCTTCCAACCAACGGTTCGGAAGAGCTGCCGAGCGAGGACAATATGCCAATCTACACGAAACCCACGCAACCAACAGCTCACACCATACAACCAACGGCCTTGACCCCCACTCGCCCGATTGTTTTTCTTTCCCTGCCTGCATCTGTTCATTGGCCCCCACCAAACCCAAGAAACATACAATCCAAAAAAAAAAAAAAACTACGCCTCCACTCTTTATATCACTCTTCATCACAAAAATCGAACCATACCACCTTTTTTCTTTCCCTCCCCTCCCTTTCCAAAACCCCGGTACGCTAACCCCCATCACAGACCGTGGCGAAGGAGCGAACCACGCCATCGTGGACGTGCAAGACTTTGCCGACCTCGTCGCAGGGCCCCACCTCGCCCCCGCGCAGGGGCCTGCAAGCTTCCAGGAGCTAAGGCGGGCACTGGATGCGTACGAGGACGCCGTGGTGGAGAGGGCGAGACCGGGCGTGCTCGCTTCCAGGCGGGCGTGCCTCGACGCCCACGAGTGGGGAAGATCGGAGAGGCGAGTCCGCTGTTGACGAGGAGGGCTATGAAGTTAGACTTTGATGAAGAGTGACGAGGAGAGGCTTGGGATTGATTGGGTGGAAGAGACCCAAGCGTTCGGGGGCCCACTGCCGAAGGTGGTGGGGGGACCTTTTTTTTTCTTCTTGGCCATATGTTTCTTCTGCATCCATTTTTTATTACTACACAGTACTGTTGAGATCGTGGGGCCAATACGTGATGTGATAATGGACCTTTACGTTTTACGTATTCTGCATGTTACTTCCACCTTTTGGCCTCCTTTTAGTGCATATCAGAGCCTACATGTAAGCTACTCTAATGTAGCCCCCGCCTCAAACCTACATGTTGCTTGAAAAATCCTGTATATTGCTGCTGTATCCGACGTCAAAAGACCGTGATATGATAGCTCTCATCAAGGAAATCTTGACAAGACCAGTTTAACCAGGCCAAGGTTGAAATATTGATCCTTCACCTCGAGAGAGGCAAAGGATATCCAGTCAAGCCCCTTGTGCTTACTCTTCCTCTTTTTCCCTCCTTGCTAGCTCGCTTCCCTCCTGCCTGAGAAGTGATATCTGCTCTCTGCGCTGTTTGCCTGCCCCCTTTCGCACTCGTTACGCAGGAGGCGTCTCGTATAACCCTAGGCCTGTAACCTTTGTGTCGGGTCGGGATCGCACCAGGTCGGGTAGATAAGGAGCGAACAGACAGTTCGATGAAGAGAAAAGAAGGGAAAAGGAAGAAACAGAGAATGGTTCTTTCCCACGCTCCCAGCCTGTTCACGAACATGTCGCTGCAGCCACAAAAGCCATCAGCCCTCTTTTGCCCGTCCCGGTCCATTTATTCATGTGTTTTATTCTCCGTTCCAACGCCTCAACGGCCAGCCCGTCACCACGAGGGGGAATGTGAAGGCAAATCGTCACATCAATGGCGTGTCCCACTCTCGATGCATGTTCCATATGAGACGTTGTACGAACAAGGGGGCACTGAAGATAAATGCAAGGTACACGACATTGAGAAATGGATGCGTCGAGGCGCGGGCGTAACATCTACGAAGCACTATCAATGATGGATTCATCGGCTCCACCAGCCGGCTTGGGCCAGATTTCGGCTGGGGCTCAAGCGCTACTTTCCTTGTAGTTTTTGTGGGCCGGCTAGTGAGTCCTTCCCTTCTCCCTTCTCCCCCACTAATCATCCCCGGCACATCGATTGATCCTTTCAATGTTGAATGTTCTCACCTTAACCACCGGCTCCTCCTTCCTTTCCCCCTTGAACGTCCAGTTGTCCCAGGGTCTCCCCTGGATCGGCCGCCCTTTGTCTCCAGCGCCCTTTCTCTCTCACTCCACTCCACACCACTAGACCCTAGCGAAGTGCACCCTGTTCGTTTCCCCTGGGCATACTGCTCCCTCCTTCCTTCCCTCCGACTCATCAAGGTTCCCCTAGGCTCCCCAGTCCCTCGCTCCCCCTTGACTTCTTGACGTCCGCCTCATCGTCTGTGCGAAAATCACAAGGGGAATCGACCTCGCCCCATCCTTTCGTTATTTTCTTTTTCTTGAATTCTCCGGTACGCCTCGCAGGGGCCACTCCCTTGTGATTTCCCTCTTTCTTGGTCCTCACGCCCTCTCCTTCCCTTGTACTAGAAAATTGCCCATCGCAGTAGTAAGATTGCACATCAACCTGGGGAGATAAGCTTCAATGTCCAAGTCGTCATCTTGGTCGTAAGCCGTTCAAGAAACACAATGAGCGGGGGCCTAGGCTTGGGCGCGCAGGGTGATCTGAGGTGGATGAAAAGAAATGGCAACATCACAGAACCATTATGCTCTTGAACGGCCATCGCCGACGAGACCTGGTCTAGACACACTACGAGTGCAATGGCGAGATGATGTAAGAGTCAAGCAAGACAGAAATGAGCAAGAAACGAAGCAGGCAGTACAAGGGTCTGTGAGATTTGTAGAGAAAAACTTATTATTGAATGTTGCCTTCATTAATTCGTAATAGTTCCTAAGGTTGGAGACGCATTCAAAGAGTATGCGAAGCAAAGACAAGCGGCACCGAGCACGCGCCGTGACAGAAAACAAGAAGGAAAAAAGGCATGGATATCGATCGCTCAATTGCAAAATTTATCATTGGTCTTCGTTAAAGAAGCCACCAAATCGCTGTTTTCAAACCAGAAAAAAAGAAAGAAAGAAAAAAACCCCCGAGAAAAGAAAAAGAGTATTTGCACACAGGAGTATCTGAACAGAGCATAGCAAGAAAGAAAACAAAGGGATCGAAGCAATAAAAATTCCACTTCGCTTCATTGCTCTTGGCAATCCTCTCATGCGTTCTCGCCTCGGTCTTCTCCCTTAATCTCGTCTCGAGAATGATACCTTTAGATTCAAACAAGTCGAAGCGCTCCATTCGCATGCAGTACCTCATTTCTCGGCTGGACGTCTTCCGCGTACAGAGTAAAGCCGGGGCCGGGGGTTGCTTTTGTGGTTGTGGATCGTTTCTCCTTCCCCCTTCTTCTCTCCTTCCCGTCTTCTGGTGTCCTTCTTTTCCTTCTGTGGCCTGGTCGTGCCGTCCGTCTCCACTCTTCCCATCAAGGTCATTTTGTTTTCGGCCGTGCGTCGCTTTAAAGGTATTTTCGAAGGGTTCCTTCCTTGACCGTCCCACTCTTCGTTCTAGTGCAGTCCAGTCGCACTTCACCCGAAAATAGCAGAGGTTGCGGGAACGCAGAGATACACGGTCCTCCCGGGCTCCCCGACCAATCAGAATCGGTTTCGGATCGTCAAGCGAGCCGGTCTGCCGCACAAGAAAGCGCGACAAAGGGAAAATTGAAAGAGAAAGTCAAAGGGAAAAAGAAAAAGAACAATATGAGTGTAGAAAGACATTTCTGGTGAAGAAAAGAAGAGTAGGCAAGATGTTTTTTTCCTTGACAAAAAGAGAAAAAGAATAAAAGGACCGAAGATATATCGTAAATACTGGAAAGCACGGTTACATGTACCTTGGCCCGCTTCCAGATGCCGTGTCGTCGTCCACCCTGACCGAGTAGGAAACCGATTTGATGATCGCGTTGGGCTCGTGGTGCTGGATGGGTAGGTCGTGGTCGCGCGCGCTCGGGTGCTGGTTTCCGTCCGTCTTCCTGAGAATGTCCTCCTCGCTGCCGCTCGTGCTGTGCTTGTCAAACCCTGCGGTGGCGTACGCCGTGGTGCCCTTCTTGGACCGCAACCCGCTGTCGCCGCCCTTTCCTGTCGTGCTGACGTCCGTCTCGCCCCGCTCTTGCTCAGGCTGCTCAGCTTGTACAGCTGGCTGCCCTTGCCGATCCGTCGACCGCTTTGACCGTTGGACGAGCCGTAGCCGCGCGACTGCTTGGTGCGGTACTCTCTGGCCTTGCGCAGGAAGACGGGTGCCAGGAACGGCAGAGACGACACCATGTTCTATACAAGGCACGTCATAGCACACGTCAGTATGAATTCCTCAACCAAATTCTTTTTCCCGTCTTTTTGGGGGTTTCTTTTTCTTTCTTTCACTCGGGGTCTTTTTGTCGAGTGTCCTCCCCGCCTTCCATATGCACTTGCATATTAAGAGAAATGTGGGGAACTCGCCAGCGCGTGTAATGTAAAGAAAGAATGGGGCAAAAAGAAAACATGGCTTCGATACGAAGTGCATGCACATTGTGTTGAGCAAGAAGAAAAGCAAAAGGCGCCCCAAAACGATGCAAAGGACTGACAAAGGAAGAAAAAGAAACACCAACGAAGAAAGTAATAAACCAAAGGAAAAGAGGGAGAGAAAGACTTACGCCCACGTTGAATTCGATGACTCCCCACAGCACCAACATGGTGGAGTTGCCGTCACCAAACTGGATGCGGTCAATCTGCAAGTATCTCTGGATCGAGCAGATGGTGGTGAACAGTCAAGGAGGAAGATGCCAATCAAACCGAGCTTCTTGCTGCGCGACACGTTGAGCTTGAGCAACACCGGGATCGGGATCAGTGCCACCACTACATCGGATATGATTGTGACTACTGCGTAACCGGTGAATGATGGGCCGGCAGGCAAGCAAGTTCCTGCCTTGAGCGGGTTCCATGACTTGTCAACCTATAGAGGGTGAAGAACAAGATAGTCAGCAAAAAGAAAAAAGGGGCAGGAAAAGGGCTAGGGCCAAGAAAAGGGTTTACGTACAGGCCTGCAGGCGAGAACGAGGGCAAGAGTGCACCCAAGATGGGAGAGGAAGATGAGGGCGATGGCGACGAGCACAACGATGCGATACACCCTCTGGTTCGTGCCTTCGAAAAGTCGGAGGTAGCTGATGAGAAGCGCAACCTTGAAGAAGCTGATGCCAAGCTGGTAAAACGGGCGACCTGCGTAGTTGACTCGTGTAAAAGGGATGAGGTTTTCCTTGGGCCGGAGCGCGATGGGCAAGCCGAGACCGTATTTAGTTTCTAGCGCCACACCTTGGCATTAGTCCCACGATTCCCTTGCCTTGGATCTTTTTTGTTCCGCACTCAGTTGGCCGGCGTAGAAGACATGGAAACTTACGGAAGATGCAGAGGATAGAGTAGATAATGGCGAAGACGAGTGATAGGGTCGCCATCCAGTCATCTGCCGCCATTCCTCTCGTCCTCGCCCGAACCCATAATCGCATAAACACCACAACCATCGAAATCACCGTCAAAGTAACCGTCACTGGTATGATGAGTCGCCATTGCGAGATCTGGTCGACCTCCACCGAGGCATTCTCTACCCAAACCATGCTGGGCGGTAGGAATGAAAGGCGGGATAAGGAAAAAGAAATGTGTTAGTCGGCGGAGAGCAAAAGTGGCCTAGTCGAGCTGACACCGTGTGGTGCGTGAAAAGAGGGTAGCTGAAGTGGGAGGAAGGGGGTGGGCGGCGTCGGGCTTGGATAAAGAAACACCAAAGGCGTTGGTGGGCGCAGCGGTTTCTTGACACCGAAGATTATGGGACCGAATGGCTGGATCCCCAAGGCGGCTGAGGCTATCGTCTTCCGAACCGGGGGCGGAGAAAAAAAGAAGTCCCAAGAGAAGGGAGGGCGAGGAAAGATATAAGTCCAGGAGGGTGGACTCTTCGTTTAATGAAAAGAGGACGTCCTCTTTTTTTCCCTACAGGCCGTCTAGGTGGAGGGAGAAGCGGGCGTATCCTTTCCAGAGGGAAGGTCTATAATTTCTTAACTGCTGAACCCCTGCTTTACTCGCCAATAGAAAATGAGTGCAGGCAGAGCGACAGGTGGTGTGGTCCCAGAGACAGGCAGGACGCACGCGCAACGTCTTGTCTCGCGGTGCAGGACTAACACGCCGATGATCCGAAGAGGGGCGAAAGGGTGCCCAGGAAGCACTGCAAGGTGTGAAAAAAGGAAAGCAAAGAAAAATGTGGGTGAAGACCAGATGGTCGGCGGAAAAGCAGCAGTAGTCGGCGGGCGCTGTTAGTGTTGGGGGAGGGCGGCCCAAGTCGAAAAGATGTGCGGATCGATGGGAGGAGAGTGGGACAGCTATGCGGTAGGTGGCGGATAGCCAAGGCAGTGCTGGCAGGAATTAAAGGTCCGATCGGCGAGGGACCATAAAGCAGAGTCAAGCGACGCTCCGAGTGTGGAGGGGAAGGGGGAAAAAGCAGAAAAAGGCAAGGGAAAGCTTGTATAGGTGTAATCCACTAGCACCCCGAAGACCACATGAGTTTAGCTGATGTCGATCTTCTGAGACAAAAAGAAGGAAGGAGAAAACAAGGTGCAGTAGGGCGAGAAAGTTCGTGGTTTTTAACAATCTCGTTCTTGGGAGAGCCAGAGAACAGCGCAGAAACGAAGGCGACCGCAGAAAAGAATATTATTTTCCTTCGGTAATGTATAAGAAAAGGAGCTCTATGGCGTACAAGCAAGGGTCTAAGGGGTTGGGTGAAGGGACGGGGGAGGGGAAAAAAAGATGATGTCCCGGTAGCACTATAGCATTGTTGCCTTTTTTGTGATCTTCTCACAAATTCCCCGGCACTCGAACGTTGATCAGGTTATCATGGACGCATCGCTAATAATGGAGAGCCAAAGAAAAAAAAGTTCAACGACGGCAACAACTTGAGAATAGATCGCACACATGCACACCCACACCCCTCGTACCGTCGTTCCCCCACGTTTCGAAGGAATCACCACAAGAGGAACCTGGCCGCTGAGGGCTTGCTCCCCATCCTCAGGTGCAACGACGTACGGAAGGAGCATCAGGAGCTGGCCCGGCCCAGCCCAGGCTCCTCCGAGGTCGAAAAGAATGCCCTGGGCAGCCCAGGGGACCGGGGTGTAATCTCCAACCGCGTAAGAAGGCAAGGGGCCAAGGTAGCCGGATTCCAGAAGAAAGGGGTGCGAACCTGCAGGGGTCGGGCGGCATGGAAAATGGAAAGGAGAGTGAAGAAAATATCTTGGGAACAAATCACCCCTCGACCATCGCGACACTACACACACCAATAAATCGTCTACACTCAGTCCGCCCAGTTATTATCCCCTCCCCCATTGAGATCCGAGGAAACCAGGATGAAGAGAATATTGGATGCCGGTTGCGGGACCAGCTTTTTCTCATCCGCGCCCTGCAAAGAAGGACAGGAAGAAGAAAGAGAAAAGAAAAAAGGGGAGGGGAAGGGGCTCAGCGAGGGCCGAATTCTAGTGGCCAAACCAAACTTTGCTTGCCCTTAATATGAAGCAAGCAACGCTGCACTTGCATGGGAGACGATTTCCTAACGGCCGAAATGCAGTCTGCAGCAGACAATCGCCCGGCAGGCCAGATCGTGGCCCACCTTGTTGCGCCATCGGCGAGCTCTCCCGAACCAAAATATTTCATCCGGCAAACAGTAGGCGACCAAAAACTGCGCCGCTCGCCTCAGTTTCAAGGCAGGAGGAGAATGGCAATGTTTCCACGACGCATGCCGGGAATTCCCATCACAAAATGCTAGGGGTCGGGGAGAGATTTTGGCTGCAACTAAACCTCACCCTTCTCGGAGCGGGTGGCATATTCTGCCACCGAAGATGCTTCATTGTTGCTGGGGCCAGCCAGCAGGGATAAGGGAGGGGAGAAGGAGGACGAAGGGAGAAAGCAAAGGTAGCACTGCTTTGTTTCTTCGGTGTGCAAGGGTGACCTTGGTGAGAGTGCTAGTGCACAGCACACTATATCACCGACGCATCAATCATTCAAAATGCTGAACGACACGGTGAGAATGGAGGCCAGAGGCGAGACGGGCAAAAGAAATCGAAGCGGAAATGCTTGCGTGTACACCTGTGTGAAATGGCCGACCGGGTTTCCTTCCAGCCTAAGAAGAGAATCACCTTCTCCGTCATGATGTGCGACCGATGCGACCCCTTTGCGAGCGAGAGCAAGGCCAAAGGTGCATCCTCGCATCTCGCTTCAGAAAAGGACCGCCCGAGAAAGGGCCCCGTTTGAATTAGGAAGGCGGAAGGTGTGTGGATGAAGAGTGCGCCATGCGCCATGTACCCCACAGCGATGGCCACTCTGCGCTCTGCGGTACAACTTTGCCCGCGAAATGTGCGCTTGTAAGCTCTTTTGCCGCAGGGGCGCAATTATTATTGCATGGACTTTGTATGAGGAGCCGACAACGGAAAATGAGAGGCCGGGGGCGTGAACACTGGCAACGCTGCGCGGTGCAGGCGAAAAAGGCGATTTGCGCGCGTCAGGGAGACATTTTGAATGGTCGGACAAAAGCCCACTCGTTGCTCCTTGCGTTGAAGCTGGAGCAAAGAAGATACAAACATGAACGAAGGGGAATCAAAGGGCTGATTGCGTTGCAGAAAAGCCAATTGGCGTCTCAAGGGAGAAAAAGGAAGCCTGTCGGAGCACTTCAGGGAAAAAGGAAAACAAAGGGAAAACCACCACAGTAATGTTGGCGTTCAAGCGCTGGGCGGGAAATGGAGCGCTTGCTTCGAGGAGGACAAGAGACAGATCGGCATTTTTCTGTTACAATTCAACTTGCTTTTCTTGCCGGCGAGAGCTCCCCTTCACGGTTCCCTCCGGTTCATTCGGTCCCGGTGCGCACAACGTCTGTGGTCGCCGAACCAGCTGGCTGGGCGCACCACACACGCACAAGCAATTGATCCATCTGTGCGGGTTTTCTACACGGCTTCCTTTGCTTTTCGGTCCCAAATCCTGCAATGTGATTCCAAAGAAAAGTGCCGAGGAACCGTGGCCGGTTGGCCGTGGTGATAAGAGGTGTGCCTTCCCCCGTCCCCCCCTCCCACCCCCAGCTCGTCACTGGCCCGAGGGGAGGAGTAGCTCCTGAGTTCACAGCTCTCCCTATCATTGCCTCGGAACCATCCAGGTGCGTGTCTTGTCCTGTGATGTGATGGAGGTGAGGGTCGGCCGAGGCGCAGAGACAAGTTTGATGTTTGCATCCTTGGAATCTCGCAAAGCGATGTTAGATGAGGTTGAGATAGCTGATGTAACCCCATCTTTGGACCCCAGTCGGGCCGGGTTTGTGTGTTCGATGGAGAATCGAATCCAGTAGGACCAGGAATAGTGATGAATGGCCTGATGTAACAGGGCACGAGTTTCTGGTGGAGTTTCGAAGGTGGGCCACGCCAATCCCTCATCCCTGTACCGCCTGTCCCACCTATCGGATGAGTAATAATTTTAGAGCTCAAGCTAAGAGTAGGAGCCACCGTTGCTCGAGCCACAATTCACAACCTCTCAAGGCGCCATGCTCAATCTCCATCTTTCGAAATCCCCCTCCACCTGCTCCCTTCCCCCACCATTACGGTCCCCGCTCCCGTGAGATCTTCAATCTTCAGCTCAACCCATTGAAGCTGAATGACGATCGAGTGATTGATCCCTTCCCAATCACTTCCTCAGGCCCCCATTGAGAGAAATGAATTGAGAGGAGACCCCCACCTGTTTGTAATATGAGAAGCCATCAAGTGTGCTTCCCCCTCCTCCCCCAACAACCAACAGCTTGCCCACATTACGTGGAGGGCCTCTGTCCCCCACCCCTTAAAACCAAGCACCGCTGCGATTGCCCATTCGCCAATGAGGTGTCCCTCCGGCTTGTTTCCCTGCTTGCGCCTGCAAAAGCGAACGTCCATTAATACTTCGTACTTTTGAAGACAACCCACCCTCCACTCTACCGGGACCTTCCTTGCTGCTAGGATGATCCGGCCGGCTTGGACACCTCTCGCCCCCGGAGCCAGTCGGAGGCGTCCTTGATTCGCGGCCACTGCCAGGCGGAGAAGGGTGGGCTTGGGGGTGTGTGGGTGTGCATTCAAACGGCGATGTCTCTGGTTCAACTGGTCCTTTGAAGTAATAAAGTTGCATTCGCTAAAAAGCGACCTTGACATGGGCAAGGCAGGCAGTTCGGTCGCACCAGAAAGGGCGTCGCCGTCGCTGGAGGGGAAGATTTTGAGTGGAGGGTCAAGTTGAAAGTCGGCACTGTACAAGTATCCAAGGGGGTTTGTGCACCCCTCCCCCTGTCGAGCAATCCCAGGCCTCGCACGGTGCGGCGGTACAAGCCTCTATGGCAGAGTCGTCCACTGCCGTTCACGCCCCCTTGGCTCTGGCCAACTTCAAAAAGAACGAAGAAAAACAGCCTCTGCTGCATGACCAGCGAACCAGGCCTGCCAGGTAGGGAAGGGCGAGACCCCTTCCCCGTCAAAAATAGGTTGCTCGCCCTGTTTGAATGAACGCGTGAAAGCAACCCCTGGCCAAAAGTGGCGCGCCCTCCCTGTCCTGTGCCAACGCCTCCGGGGAAACGAAGGACAACTTGAACGTGAGATGACTGCACTCCTGGGTCGTGAGAATTTGGTTGATTTTCTTTTTCCCCTCGCCATTATGGGATTATTACATTTTATGGGGAGGGCTCGACGTCTCTATACACTACTTCATTGAAAGCAATGACGAGGGGGACGAAACCTTCCCTCCCCGCCGCCCAGGGGCCCCTAGGGGCCTCGCTTAATGCTTACGAACTGCTTGTACACCATACAGTTTGTCCTTCAAAGAGAGAGGCGGAAACTGCACCCAGGACCGATCATTGATCCTTGCAGGAAAGACGTAACACTTGTGCTTGGTAATTCACGTGTAGTGGTCCGAAGAACGGGGAAAGACACCAATGTCAATATCCGTCCTCCTCTGGCTCCCCTCCCTCAAGAGAAATGGACCGAAAAAGAATGTGTCAAAGCCACGCAAAGCAGCTATCAACCGATCAGTTGTCTGTTTTTTTTTCCCTTCTGGAAAACTGCCAACGCGCATGCAAACTTGCAGGCAACGGGCAACTTCGAGGAGGGGGAACAACATCCGAACCGAAAAGCATGGTCTTCGGTCACAGTCCTTTGCATGCGCCGGTGGCTCGATGGACCCATGCTCTCCCAACACACTCTCTCCACGCTGTACCTCTCGATACCGTCTCCCTTCATTTTGATTCATCATCTTCGTACTCGCCGTTGGCACCAACCCTGACAGCACGGAGCACGCACGCCGTTATTCCCCTCCCCTCCGCTCTCCCCTCCACGCCCCCAATCCGGTCGACCTCATTGATCCTCCCGTTTCCCATCCATTGATCAATTCAACTCCCCTTCCCCACCCACTCCTGGTTGCCAAGGTCCGTGATCCTTTTATCTTTTGTCCAGACTGACCAAACCTCGCTCTACTTCTCGCATTGGCCAAATAATATTGCAAAGTAGGAATCCAAGGGTTTGGAGTTTGCCAATATTTGACACATCCCAGTCGTCCACTGTTACACTGGGCCCCGGTCCCAACGTCTTTGCCCTGCGTTTTTCCCCTTCTCTCTACCTCCATGCTCTGCAGTCCCGGGGCACGCGAATCCTTTCCTCACTTTGATTTTACCCCAATTATCATTTTTATTGCGTCTCCTTCCCTCGTGTCGGGGTTGCTGACAGTGTTGGCCATTTCCGTTTTGCTCTTCCCCTCCACCAAGTCCAATATTTCCCCAAGTCTGCAGCTGACTTGCAGGATCTCCCCACATCCACCCTCGAGTTGGGTCTAGGTCCATTGTGCCTTCCGCATTCATTTCTCCTTATCCCCTGAGACACTCCTTCCCCTTTCCAACTACTTCTTATATAGATTCCATCCCACTCGCCTCCCTCATTCCTTCCCTTCCTCCTTGACCACACCCCTTGAGTACCAAAGGCACAGCTTCCTTGGTGTCGCACGTGTGATAGATTAATCTCTCTCACATAATCACACCTTACCCTTTCTCCTGGGTTTTCTGTGCATCTACCCACAGACATCCGATTCCTTTGATCTGCGGAAGGTTTTTTTCCTTGTGCACACACTCTTAAAGGGAGCTTCCACTTCTATACCTTCTTTTTTTCTCACTTATTTCTTTTACAACCTTGTGTTGTTGTCTCTCTTTTATATACCCCCTACAGTCGTCTCTTTGCCAGGAACGACGCAGGTAATCACCATGTCCGAAGGAAAAGGAAGCCTCAAGGAGGCCGAACTCGGTAACCAGGCCGTTAATGGCGATGCCGCCTCCGACATCGACAACGCCTGGCAGTTCCTCCAGGAGAACCGCGATGTCACTGAAGCGAGCGCGACCGAAGAGGAGCTGAAGGCTCTTCGCCGCAAGATCGATTGGCACATCGTGCCGATCATGTTCTGCTGTTATACCATGCAGTTCCTCGACAAGGTTATCCTCAACGTAAGTCAGGGCCCGCACTCTTAATTTGTTTTTCTTTCCTGAAGTCTGCCTGGCCGTCTGCTTTTAAAATTGTTCGCCCTCGACTCGATCTCGAATCGCGCCCCGGATCTACGGTGCACGGATCGCGGGCGGCCGCGATACTAAGGGGGAGGACTCTGGATTGTCCGGGGACCGGCGCAGAAAGCAAGTTGGAGTGGAAAAGAGGGCTTTTCTAACTGTCGATCATCATTCTAGTATGCCGCTGTCATGGGAATCCATGCGGAACTCAAGCTTCAGGGCAATGATTTCTCCAACGTCGCCACCTTCCTCTTTGTCGCACTTCTCGCCTTCGAGGTACCAAACAGTAAGTTGATCCCAGCATGCGTCAGAAAAGTCGGTCGCACAAGTGACTTTGGAAAAATTCGGTGGCCAGCGTCTGTGTAATCAGCGGCCCTGTCGCTGATACGTGACGGAAAGTTGCACATCGCTAACGTTGCTTGTTCGCATCGCACAGTCTACTTCCTCCAGAAGGTCCCTGCCGCCAAGTGGCTCGGTCTCAACGTAATCTTGTGGGGAACCGCCACCGCTTGCGGTGCTGCTGCTACCAACTACCAGACCCTCCTCGTGTCTCGTGTGTTCCTCGGTATTTTCGAGGCGACTATCGCTCCCTCGCTTCTGCTCATCAGCAGCCAGTGGTACACCAAGTCCGAGGCGGCTCCCCGCTTCTCGTTCTGGTACCTTGGTCTCGGTCTCGGCCAGATCCTCGGTGGTGCCGTTTCCTATGGCTTCCAGCACATCGCGCCCGGTGCCGCCCTGTCGGGATGGAGGGTCATGTTCGTCACCCTCGGCTGCCTCACTGTTGCCATTGGTCTCTGGACCATCTTGCTCCTGCCCGACACCCCCATGAAGGCCAGCTGGCTCAGCAATGAGGAGAAGGTGAAGCTCCTCAAGCACGTCAGTGTCAACCAGACCGGTATCGAGAACAGGAAGTTCCGTCCCAAGGAGATTCTGGAGGCCCTCATGGACCCCCAGCTCTACCTGCTCCTCCTTGCTGTCATTCTCGTAAGTTTCCTCCCAGCTAGCCGTAAAGCGGAATATCCGTGCGTATTCACGACAAAACATATGCTAACGACTGGTGCTCCGCAGCTGTCCGTCTCTAGCGGTGTCGTCACCACCTACTCTGCCACTCTCATCAGGGGAATTGTCAAGGACCCCAAGCGGGCTGCCCTGATGAACATGCCTTCCGGTGCTGTCAGCATCTTCTTCACCCTTTTCGTCGGTTTTGCCATTCGTCGCAACTCTAACCGCTGGCTTTGGATCATCTGCTGCATCATCCCTGCGTAAGTTGAATTCGAGCTCACGATATTAAGCAAAGTACCATAAACTAATCCTCGTTGATAGTATCATCGGTGGTGCCTTGATGTCCTTCTATTCCCAGAACAGGGCTGCTGCTCTTGCCGGCATCTACCTCGTCAACGCTGTTGTTGCCCCGCTTGCAGTGTTCTACAACGTAAGTTTATGCCCTTTGGAACGAGGAGAAAGAAAGCAGAAGACAAAATGTTCTAACACCCATTTTCTTAGTGGACCGCGGCCAACTTCGGTGGTGCCACCAAGCGTGCTTTCGCCGCTGCCCTTCTCAGCGGTTCCTTCTCCATCGGCAACATCATCGGTCCCCAGACGTTCCAGGCCCGTGACGCCCCCGACTATCGCCCCGCCAAGATTGCCGTCATGGCTACCCAGGCTGGCTGCGCTCTTGTCACCTTTATCCTCTTCCTCTACTACCAATGGCAGAACAAGAAGCGAGGTGCCGCCATTGAGTCGGAGGATTCGTACATGGCGCCCGAGGTGTGGGCCAACATGACGGATCGTGAGAACAAGAAGTTCAAGTACTCGTACTAAGGAGAGAAAAGAAAAAGCGCCTGTATAGACTCCGCTCCGTGGCTCGAGGTCCACGGACGAGATAATTATTGCTTCCCGCTTGCTTGCCTTTTTTTCTTATTCTCAGAGTTTAGTCTTTTTCGGGTTTTGCTATATATAGAGAAAAACAACCCGGCGAGATCACTAGCCAGAATGTCTGCCTTGTTACCTTAGATACTATATACCACTTGCTTTCTTGCGTCCCAAATTACTCTCAAAGGTGTGACTTCTTTGCTTGCCTATTAAACTTCCCTTCACATTGGTAAGCCTAGGTTGTACTTGATCGTGAATTCCCGTGTTAGTCGGGAAGGGAGGGAAAGCTAGGTCAGCGAACAAAAGGTGACGGCTCGAATAACCCTGACATTCGTTGTTGGCAGAGTAAGACGTTTTGGCTATTCATAGTAGTGACGAGATGCTTGCTCCGGCGAATCCAGTAGACGACTCATTGCAGCTCAATATTCTAAGCTCCCCTCAATTAGAACACTCGGCCTAGTATCCAGGATTTCGGGATCGATGTGACAATCGTACGAGAGCATACCTTCAAAGCCACTCCTGATGAGTATCTACAAAGTCGCAAGGGCTTTTCCTCACTCGCCAGCTGAGATGCTTCTCCTCAACACTTCTCTACAAGATTATGAAGAGGTCCGTAAACACTTGACTCAGCCCGCTCTTGTGTCTTGAAGAGCCAGCACTGGTATGGTCACCTCTCAGTGCCACATAGGCCAATACTAGACTTGTGTGGCTTACAGTCTCCCTCGACAATGAGGCTTGCGACCGTGTACACCCTTTATCTCATAGATGTCGGAATAACGTAGCCGCATGTGGGACATATCGAGTCTTGGGTCTTTCGCAACCCAGACTTGCCAGACTACCTAATATAATTATGGCCACCGCGGCCAATCTATTGATGCCAGCTCGCGGTGACCTGAAGCTGGGATAAGGTGGGTGGGCTCAAAGCGGCAAAACGCCCAAGGATAGCGGCGAGAAGTGTCTCACCTCGAGATAAGGCCCGGCCACTTACCAACGCGAGCCTGGCGAGCACCCTAGAGGAGAGTCATAGTTGGCATGTAGACCGAAAACGAGCCGTGCCGAAAGTCAGGACTGCCTAGTCTCTCTGATTGATGTCCGCCTGCTGCACCATTACGAAACAATGATACAGGTTCGGCACAAGGAGCAGCGTCCTCGACTTCCAGGATTTGGGATTTATGGTTGTGGAGGGAAGAAATATATGTTTGAGGCCACCACTCAGCATTGCCACTTTGTTGGGTAAAGCGGCGTTGAATTCGAAGTGTAGGTATCAACCTCCCGCGCAAAAGAATGTCGCCCCTGATCGAGGCTGCGGAGCCGGCTGCCGTGAATAGATGGATGTGAGACAAGAGGCGAACCCTTGCTACACCTAACGGCCTGGGTCAGTAGGCTGTGCCCGAGACAAGACATAAACGTACTCGGAATGACAGCTATGGTTTGTTTTAGGTGATGAACGGATCGTGGAGTGACGTGGTAGCGAGTCCTCCGGAAATCAATTCCAAAGGGGCGGTGATTATGGAACGAAGATCCAAACACTAGCTCTCTTGAGTCCCTGAGGGACGCACACTCTGTTGGTTATATTGTGACAAGGGTAATTTTGGTAATAACCGATGATTCTGGTTGGAAGAGATTCAGAGATTTTTTCATTTTGGGAGTGGGAGCCCCTCGTCTGGCCGCGAAAGGCAATCTTGGGAGTGACACTGACATATACTGCATTATATCTATTTATCGTTTGCATCATAAACACCTACGTATCACGCCTTGCTCCGCATTCCAGCTTTATCTTTCAGCATCACATAGGCCCAACTTCCCAAGAGTTTACCGATGCAAGGAACTAAGAGAAAACATGCCTCGCTCTACCCACGGGCCCAGCCAAAAAGACCAAACAAAAGGATCCCCTCTCTTTACGGTGCCTGGCTCTTCTTGGCGTCCTTGAGCTCGCCCCTCTCCCGAACGAGCGCAGATATCTCGCCCGCCTGCTCAGTACCGAGGCCCGCGAAGCCTTGGATAACGCCCTCGCGATCGCCCTTGCTCATCTCCTGGCTCATCTTGAACTTGCCCTGAAGACGGGTGATTTCGATCTCAACGCCGATAATGTTCTTCTTGAGCAGGTCGACGTACCTGTCCGGCGCGTCGGAGACCTTCCAAGCGGAGGGACGCCCTTCACGGCCGGTGAAGCCCATAATGGAAGTTTCCATGGCGTGGGACAGGTCAGCGACCTGGCGGTCCAGGTAGGCCGAAGTCTCGTCGGACTTGGAGTCGAAGTAGACCCTGGCGCGGCCGTACGCCTGGACGGCGGCGTAGTTCCAGGTGGGCACGACCTTGCCCGTGGTGGGCTTGGTCTCGACGTAGAACTTGGGGGTGACGTAGGAGTGCGGGGTGGCGGTGAAGAGGACGAGGACCTCGTTCTCGAGCACGGCGGACGCGGGGCCGGCGTCTGCCGAGGGGGTTGCGTTGGCCGTCAGGTGTTCGATCATGGCCTTGCTCTGCGGGTTCTGGCGGGCAATGTGTCCGCGCAGACGGCCTAGGTTGGGGCCATCGCCGGCGGACGAGGCGGTGGTGTCGTCGACGTCGATGACCCAGGGGATGTGGCTGGACTGCAGGAGGGGAAGTTGGGCGAGGCGATGGCGGTGGTGAGCACGCCGAGGGGGTAGTCCCGGACAAGTTGTTGGAGAACCGGGATGCGGTCTTCGGCGTGGTCGCTCCGGAGATGCATGGCTGCTGTTGGCTTGTTTCTGTCTTTAGGGGTATTTATGTCCCGAGTGGCCAGGGAAAGACTTGCGAATCAGGCGTTGACGGTGGTGAGCGTGAAGGGTTACCTTCTTTGGGTTCACAACCTGGTTCTCTTCTTATATGTATATCTGTGAACTGCTCAAGAGTTCTTCAAAGGAAGACTCAGTAGAAAATTTTATAGAAACGCCGAGGAGTCAACAAAAGAGTCAATCGCGCCCTTTGGACCTCTTTTTTTTCCTTCCTTTCCACAAGATAACGTACGTCCGAAGAGTTTCGCTACGCGCGAGCTGCTCTTTGCCTCGGAGAAACCCAACCTGTTAGTGGGGCGAGCTAAGCAGAACCACGCTGGACCTCTTCAAGCTCCTCCCCTCTCTCTCGCGCGGTGGCGTGTGTGTGTGACTCCATGGGCCCAAAGCCGCAGAACCGCATGTCCCCGCCCGCGAGCCAATCACAAGCAGTGTAAAACGAATAGGAGGATTTCCCGGCTTGCACGTTTTCGGGGAGGGCCTCATGCACCCGGGTTCGATTGGGCCCTTGAGCGGAAGCTCCCAAGACCACATTGTTTAGTGGGGGCTATTAGCTAAAACCTGAGCGATTCGTTCCATAATATGCGAAGCAGAAAGGAGCAAGGACCTGCCGCATTAAGGAAGATTAGGGAACTAGCTTCGTGCAGTCATATCCTCCCTCACAAGCCGTTTCTCTCGTTGACTCACCTACCTGGGGAGGTAAAGAAGAACTTGACAATAAAAGGAAAGAAAAAGAAATAAAACAAGATCACATAGAGCCGGAGAACTAGTCATGTATAAACCAAGGCCAAGTTCCGATACGGGCCGTGATGTGTCTCGGCTCCTCTTTCTATTTCCTGCGTGGCAATAGTTCTAACATCACGGCATCCCTCTCTAGAGTCATTCTTAGGTTTGGGAAAAGTAGCGGTTATAGGCTCTACGACGATTGGACAGACGCCAATTTACTTTAGCCATGGCGATACCCACTCGGAAATATCCTGAGGAATGCTAATCCCACGATGCAGGAATCGTTCGATCGAGGGCAGTTTGGCTTACCACGTGACCTTGCGTATCGTCGGGTACATTACAGTTCACGACCTCGCAGTGTAGATGCAATCGCTGTGGGCAGAGGAGGAGCAGGAACGGATGGTACATAGCCATCCCACGACCAATTCACCCAACAACCAATCAATGGTAAGATGGCCGAGCGGTCTAAGGCGCCAGGTTAAGGTTACCTTAACGAGTAAAATCCTGGTCCAGGTAACTGGGCGTGAGTTCGAATCTCACTCTTATCACTTCTTTTTGCTTTTTGCCAATGGTTTTCTTTTAGGAGGGTTTCTTTTTCAATCGTGGCGACGAATCCTATTCGGTTAGTATTTATTTTTCCAATTGAGCATGGTCGATGGGAAAGGGATGAGACAAAAAGAAGGATTTGGCTTGTTCTTCCGATACTGCGCTGCCTTTATAAGTCAAGATGCTCACCAGGACAGGCACATACGACCATAGCTCGTAGAATATTGAGGGTCCCGTCCGCTCCCCTGTACACAAGCTGCGAAGCGCCGGACTAGTAGTTGGGTCGGTGACGACCAGCGAATCCCCGGTGTTGTATGTTTTTTTCATTTTTTTCATTTTTCTTCTTTTGAGCACCCCCTCGACCCTTCATTTTCTCGATGGACAACTTCATTGATGCGTCTTCAAAAACTTTGCCGGCCTCCAAGTGGCGCTTGTGAGAAATCCACCTTTTTGGATAAAAAACAACATAGACAACTGACGAACCTCTGCCCCTGAAAAGCTGAGGGATTCAGGTGCACCAACTTATATCCAACACGTCACATCAGACATCACGACAAACATCACAAAGGAGCGGACTTTAGACATGTAATAGCTTGATTCATCATGATATTTCCAGAGCTAGCGATATAAAAATTACCATATCTATCGAGAGAAAGAAAAAAATGTCATCCTCCCTAACCAACTTTTTGAATTTTCAGCTTCCCCAGCCCCTTGTCTCCGTCGCACCCCCGCCCATTCATTTCCCTCTAGAAGGATTAAAAGATGGGATACGAAGGGACGAGGGTAGGGGAAACTAAGAAAAAAGAGAGTGAGAGTAGCCTGTGAAAACTCCAACGCCATCACCTTCGTCTCCCCTTTGGTCCATAAAAGGCCAGGTAATAAAACAGTCTATGTGATAGACACTCCTGCTGTGAACGCTCAGAACGCCGAGGAGGCAAGGTAGTAGTAGTGGTAGTAGTAGTAGTAGTAGTGGGACAAATCCCGTGGAAGATCCAAGCCCGAAAAACAAAACGAAAGAAAACAATGGTTGGTATAAAACTCGTAGTCTTCTTCCAAAATCAAACGATGTCCAATTTCAACAAAGTGATTGATTGGAATGGGAAATCCAAAACGAGGGAAACGCCCAGATATGACAACTCGCAGATGTGGTTGCGAAAAGGAAACAGATAAAAGACAAAAGTGACCAAAAGAGAAATAGATAGGGGAAAATTGAGTGATGGGTGTTTCGCTATGTTGCGGATAATATGTGCGCATGGACGATGCTGGAAAACGAGACGCAACCCCAAGGCATTATTACCATTACATCTCCTCCCCGTGTCCCGTACCCAACCTGTGGTTGGGACAAGGCCGGTTTGGATGTGGTGCGCATGCATGTATGCGTGCTAATATGTATATGTGTTTGTTCGTCTGTGTGTCGGTGCGTGTGCGTGTGCGTGTGTGTGGGTGGTTTGCATCTCATCGTTAAACATCAACTTGTTTGGTGGTTTTTGTTGGGTTTTTGTTCGGTTGGTTGATTGGGTTAGGTTTTTCCGGCTCGCATCCTGCTCAGGCTTGCTTAGGCCGCTCATGCCGTCTCGGACCAAGCCCTCGAAACCCGCCCGTCGTCAGTGTTCCAGATGGGCGCCGGAGGTGCTGGCAGGCCCGGAGCCGGGCCCCCTCGTCCACATGGACTCGCGGTTGGTGGATCCCGCCGCCGAAGTCGGCCGCGACTTGCTAAGTCGGTTGCGGTTCGCCTTCTTGGCCGCTTCCGTGTGCCGGTCAAAGTCCTGCCACTTCAGCACCACCGCCGACTTCTCCGCCGCTATGCACCCGTCTTCGCTGCTGTCGTCTTCGGGGCTCACGCCCGGCCTCTCTTCAACGTAGTGCAGCTCCTTTTGGCCGCCAAACTTGTACGAACCGCTGGGGAAGTTGAGGTTGGGATCCGAGCGCATCTTGGACAGGTACCACTGTACCCAGTACATCTGCTCGTGCTCTCGGAGGTACCGCTCACCGTGGAAACACTTCATGACCACACCTCGAGAGAGCATGCCCAGCTTCCTGCGGAAAGGCGTCTTCTCTCTCATACGGGCCGAGAGCCACTGCACGTCTGTCTCGCTAATGTCTTCGGGGAGATCGACGACCTCGCCATCATCCGTATACTTGACCCAGCTTCCCGTCATCGACATGAGACGAAGCTGCGCTCGGGCGAGCGCGCTGGGGTCGTTAGGCGGCACAACCTCGCCGTAGCGCGTGTTCTCCTCCTCCGGCTCCGTCAGCACAAGCGCCGTGGCACCCACCTCGGTCGCCACGATTGGCACGCCGGCCAACGCCGCCTCACCAATGGCAAGCGGGAGACCTTCCGAGATGGACGAGTTCATAAAGAGCCAAGCGTCCTTGAGCACCTCGTTCGGCTTGCCGAAACCCTTAAGAACAACATTGTCCGTGAGCTTGCAATCGATAATGAGGCGCACCATCTCGGCACAGTACGAAGGCTGACGATCCTTGGATCCGTAAATCCAGAGTTGGTAGTCCTTGAAGCCATATCGGTTCACAATGACGTCCGCTGCCTGGATAGCAGTCTTGATGCCCTTGATAAACTGCACGTGTGACAACATGACAACTGTGGGCCGCTCTGTGCGGATGCTGTCAACCGGCTGGAAGGAGTCCATGTTGCTGATACCGTTGACAATCGGCTCAATCTTGCGGCTGAATCGCTTGCGGTTGCCAATCTGGCCACGATCAGTACCAATTTCGGTTTCCCACATGCTATAGAAGAGAGAAAAAAGAGGTTAGCTTTTGGTACCAAGTACTCGGGTCGAGAGAAGAAGGGTGAGGTGATGGAGCTTACGGGTTGTAAAGCGACGTGCAGGGCATGATCACGTCGGCGTGCATGTAGGCGAGCCTGGTAGCAAGACCAATGCCGGAGAGGAGGATGGACTGGACAGGGATAGGGAGGGCGCACTGGGCGGCCGAGATGTTGAGGCAGCACTCTCGCCAAAGAATGGCGTGATCCCAAATGCAAAGGTGGCTCCCTTGCGGTACTTGAGTACCATGCCAAAGAGGGAACCGATGCCGTGATGGGTGCTCTGGAAGACACGAGGGCACTCGTCGGGGACCTTGGCGGCAAAGATGAAGAAGTACGCCTTGTAGATGCCGAGGGCCTCGCGGAAGTCCGTGAGGCTGGGGCGCTCAATCTCAAAGTAGTCCGCGGGGTTCTTCACGTTGGGCTCGTCGTAGTGCGTCATCCAGGCCTCGACCCAGGCTCGCTCCACTTCGGGCGATTCCCAAGTTCGATTGTAGTCCTTGAACTCGAAATACCTCGAAATGGAGAGAATGACGTTGGAGTAGTTGATGAGTTCCTGTCGCGAGCATCGGAGAGAGCGAGCGCCCTTGACGAAAGCCTTGAGGAGAGGCACAAACGTCAGCTCGATATCGTACTTGTAGTCCGTGTTCTCAATCTTCTCGTCCACTTGAGACTGCAAAAGGTTGTCGATGATGCCGTGGTGCGCAGAGCGTCCGTCAAGACCCCAGAGAGGAAGCAGCTTTAGAGACTGCACGTTCTTCTCGATTTGGAAACGAGGGATACCGTATTCGTTGGCACTCTCCGCCAAAACGTGGTTCCTAATGGTCGAGTGGCCATTGACGAGATCGCGGCGACAGTTGGAAACACCACCGGGAGCCTCGGGCCAACAGCCAATATCAGTAAAGATGACGGAAATGCGGTCCTTGGTGTCGCGGTAGCAGTCTTCGGGGCGGGTTGTGACTTGGGTAGCATCGTTGCCGAGACCCATGGCGTAAAGATCCGACGTCTTGATGGGCAGGAGGCACACCTCCGACACGGCCGTCTCAATCTCGATAGCGGCAAAGATCTGGTTGATGTTGCGGTCGAGTGCGGCGCGGGCCTCGGTGAGCCGACCACGGTCGCGAAGAGTCCAGTACTCGCGGAGAAGAGGCTCCTGGCGCAAAATGTCCTCGTCCATCCAGCACGCCGTGATGGCATCAAGGGTTCCAGTCTTGAGCCAGTGGCCCCAGAGTTCGGTCCTGACACGCCAGGTGGGCACCCGGCGGTACACCACGCGACCGTGCCACGAGAAGAGAGAAGTAAGCTTGAGAGACGAGAGGAAGGGCGCGCTCTTGGAAGGGCCGGCGGTCTTGGCCGCCTTGCGCATCCGATTGAGTTGGAAATTGCCGTGGTAGATGAGCAGATCGTCCGAGTGGAATACGTTATCCTTGGGACGGATGAGAAGCTCGGCCTCTTCATGACAAACGTTAGGAGGCTCTGCAATAGCCGTGGTGCCTGCATCTCCCTCAATCACCGTCACCGTCGTGGGATCACGGCGATGCTGATATTCGAGAGTAGTGATGTATGTTTGTCCGCCAACTTTTCTAACAATTCTGCACAGGCGCTCCGAGGGAACCCAATTGTACTCCTTGGAGCTAGAACGAGTAGGCTCACCCCAGTACACGTAGATGCCATCATGAGTGGACGATCCAATAACCTCGTAATCGGCGCGCAGGATGTCACTGCTGCCCTTGGGAGTAGCCTTGTAGTAGTATCGGAACGAGAATTCGGTCCTTCCCATGCGGAGTGTGCCGACGCAGATACGGCCGTGCTTGTCGTAGTAGCCAGTCATGGTTCTTGACTCCGATGCCTCTAGCTTCTGGGTCGGCCACCTATGGCCATCGTTCGTGTCGTGGTACCGGTAGGTGGATGTGATGGTTCCCTTGCCTTCCTTTTGAACCCGGCTTTGCAGACGGAACTTGCTGTCATAGATGGCCTGGCAGTTGGGTTCCTTGGTGGCGGGGATCTCGCTTAGGATGCCGTCAAAGATGTTGAGAACCATTACGCCCTCATCATTCTCCGACGCGAAGCCGGTAATGGCGGCTCGGGTGAGCTCCACCACAATCGAGTTTCCGTGAATGGCCCGAGAAGCACCCTTGCGAGCAAGGCGAGCGATACTAGCAATCGCCGGGCGATGATAAATCAGGATGGCATATACCCAAGAGTTACGCGCGATTTGGCAAAAGTTCCAAATCGCGAGGACGACAGTGATGATGACAGAGCGAAGGTAAGTGTTCCTGAGCTTATACCACAGCTCCCGCTCAATGTTGGAGTCGGCACCGGCGATCAGGGCGATCCAACGGACCGTCGCGAGAGAGAGACGCCTGATCCACGAGCCGAGGCGAGTGATGAAGTTGTGAGGCGCCTGGCCCTCGTTGATGGGGACACACATCAAATCTGGCTCCATGTGGGTCGTGATACGAGGCGCATTGTCTGCGAGGTAGGCCAGGGTTCCCATAGTCAGCTGGCTCTCGTGGGAAATGGCCAGAGAGAGGCGCAGGTTAAAGTTGCAGGCCTCCATGTCCACTTCCCCAGACTCCAGCCATTCGATGAACTCAGGGGCCATGGGCACAGTCTCTCCGAGAATTCGGCAAAGGACGGCTTCGCGAACGGCCGCGGGGATGGAACCCCACTGGGCATCGACGTCAATATCCAGGCAAAGGTGTCGCATCAGCTCGGCGTTTGTCTTTAGGTACAGGTTGCGGGAGGAGGAGGGGTCAAGCATGGCAATCTCGAAGCTAATGCGACGGGCCATGGTCTCATCCTCTTCGAGAAGGAGGTGTTCGATGAGAACGGCATCCTTGTGAGGAATGTTTCGCCACGATCGAGCAACATGATAAAGGATGGCCTCTGCCGCAATACGACCCTGCACCGAAGACCACGAGGCAAGACGGATTTCCGACGAACCGAAAACACCAACATTGATATCAAGTCGGCCTCTAGTGTCGATGCGGCTGGCAGAGCAGCATCCTCGGAGGCCAGAGTTGGCAAAAGCCTCGCGATCGACCAAGGAAACGACAATGTTGTGGTTTGCCCACATGTCACGAGCACGTTGAACAATGTCAATCTGCCAGCTAGGCGTGCTCTCGCCAGGGTATTCCGAAACATGCTGAAGGATATTGCCAATGGCAACACCTGCCGCGGACGACTGGGCGAGGGTCGTTCGGCTAGACTCGAGCGACTTCCAGCTGGACAGGGCGGTGGGACCTCCGGTGCGGCGGTTAAGCGAGGTAATGAGAGGCTGCTTCAGGATCCCGCCGTCCTGGGCAAAGGACGTGATGTCCTCGACAACAGGCGAGATTTCACGACGGAAGCCAATCCAAACCCAGATAGAGGTAACAAAGGCGGCGGTGAACGAGGCCGTGCACATGGCGAGGATATCAATGTAGAGGATCTCGTGGGTCCAGGGCAAAGCGTGGAGGATGCAGCCAACGATGAGGCCAAAGGTCGCGGAAAAGTAGAGAGTCGTGACGTGGGCGCGCACGAACTTGGCGAAGCAACGGTTGAACTGGAAAAGAACAACGCAGCTGTAGCCGAAGACGTAGCATATGAAGACAATCATCGTTTCGTAATTCTCAACCATGAGCCACAGGAGAAGGGATGTAAACCCGAGAGTGGCAAGAAGCTTTTTGATCAGTTCGACCAGGGCGGTGCAGTAAATCTTGAATCGCCGCTTCTCCCAGTTCTCCATGACATGCTGGGCATGCTCAAAGTTGACCAGCTTTTCGTCCGAAAGCTTGAACCTATCAGGCCAATACTTCTGCAGAGTCGCGTCGAGGGACATGACCGAGAAACAGAAATAGGCGATGCAGAGGCAGAGACCATATCGCGATCGGGCATCGGTGTAAAGACTAATGGTGGGGCCTCGGCCCGACATCACCAGTGCCACCCATCGATCCATAAGCGCAATCAAAAAGAGAGCGACGTTCTGGCCAATATCGTAACGCGATGCGCGGAAGAGAAGGACCGCGTTGTGTTCCTTGAGACCACGGCAAAGCTGCTTCTGCTTCGCCTTGGCCTCGCCAAGGCTGTTGAACCACTCAGCGCCAAAAGAGGGGGCATATCATCGTTGGGAAATTCCTTGATCATGAGCCAGTTGATATAAGGCATGGCCTTGGCGATGCGCGCGGCAACGGGGTCGACTCGCTTCTCGCCCAGTCCGAACCGGGAGCGCTGGTGCAGCTCAACAGCCCGACGGAATTCGACCTCAGCGCTGCTACCATCATTGCCGGAAACAAGAGAGTCGCTATCGCTGGCCGAATTCTCCTTGGAATACCGAGAAGAATACCAGTCGGTGATGTCCTTTTCAGTTAGCTCGGGGATGTTGGACATCCAGCCAGACCATTCCATGCAAAGGCTCCGGTATTGAATCAGGATAAGGAAGAGGAAAGCATATGAGATTGGCAGGTAAATCTTGAGATCGTGGCCGTTCACAAAAGACGAGATGAGCGGGGATAGGAAGAGGAACGGGATCGTGCGCCAGAGGACGAGACGCCCAGAGCGGAGAGGGCTTCCACGCTGGTGCATGGTCGCCATGATACCAAGCAAGGTGAGGTACGTGGAGACGACAATGAGATAGGCAGCAAACACCAGGCCAACGTAGATGTCATAGCTCACGGTGAAAGCGATCAGGCCGATGGCGGCCACCGTGAACGATAGCATGAAGCCTCCCGAAAGCCTCTGGACGTGGAAGTAAAGCAAGTTGTCGTAGGCGTAGTGGGGCATATAGTAGTGGCCGACACTACCGACCCAACCAGTGACACCAGCGGCCAGGAGCAACGAAACCAGGACGGCGTATCCCGAGGCGACAATGTGCGCGGGCTCCATAAAGGCTGTGGTGAACAAACCCCTTCCGAGGAAGCTCAGCAAGATGACGTCGAGGATGGCAGGGAAGCAGAAGATGGAAAGAGCACCAAACTCCTGCATACGCTTTTTCCAATGCCGGAGCTTGTTTTCTGTCGAGACCGGGGCGGCGTAGGAGCCGGCAGGGAGTTTGCCCTCTGGTTCCCGTTCCGCAGTGACTGGCCAGTACATGGTGATGACGCGCTCCTTGAATTCCGTTGGCTTAGCTGGGGGAGTGTTGACCTCGAGGTACTTGTGGTACATCTTGTAGATGATCTCGCCGAGGTCTCGGGGCAGAATGCCGAAATAGATTTCGCACTGCGAGCCCAAAACCCAGAGTTCAGCGAACACAGCAGCCTGGTCGGGCTGGGACAAGAAGTATGGGCAACGGTCAGTGGCTTCTAGGTAAATATCCTCGAGAGCTGCTCGCCTCAAAACGATGAAGAAGAGCAGAGCAAAGAGATCGGCATTGATATCTGCTGGCGTCGTGTTCTCGGGAGTGCCTGACAACTTGTAGACGGAGCGGAGAGCATCGTCCAGGAGGCCAAAGACTCGCTTATCGCCGTAGAACAGGGCATCATTAACGAGCGAATCGAGGTGCGAGAACAGACGAAGTAGGTTGTCGATATTCGGCACCTCGGTGGCGCCACTGCGGGCGTAGTATCGAAGCCGGGTGTCCAGAAGCTCGCGGAGATCGATCGTGCCGGCGAGAGTGTGATGAGAATGGAGGCTTCGCCAGTTATCGTGCTCACTCTCGTCAATCAGGAGATGTCGGCAGAGCTGGATCATGGGCTTGCGGAATTCATGCTCAAACTGGGTGACGCGAAGCTGCTCGAGGAAGAAGAGAAGCTCGGCATAGGTAGCGCGCTCGAGGAAACAGCAAGACTAGAGGGCATGGCAATGGTGGGGTCGTGCTCAGTAACCCTCTCTAGCTCAAGTTCAATGATGTAGCGCTCAAGGCGGGGCACACCGTGATGGGCTAGCCATGTGTGAAGAATTGTCGGGGTATCGCTGGGCGCCTTTAGAGAAATAAAGATATCCACACATTCCGAAGAAGAGCCCTTACGGGCGCTGGAAACACCCCAGAAGTAGCCATCACCAGAGGGTGTTCCGAAACCGCTGTCGAGTCCCTTGTAGATAGAGATTTTGGTTTGAGAAAGGCCTTCAATGAGTGCATCGAGTAGATGCTTGCGCCTACAACCCGTGTCAATCAGCGCACCCACCTGCTGGATTACGCGGTGGATGACGTCGCCCTTGACGGGTTGAAGAAGTCTCAGGGTCTTGAGATGAACCTGCTCAGTAACGACAGCGGCGTAGTGCTCTCGGGATGGGGTGGAGGTCAGCGGGTAGCATCCTTGCGTAGACAGCTCCTCCATGCCACTAGACATGGTCCAGATATTCGTCCTCTTGGGTGCCAGGTCCACATAATTGGGAGGAAGAATCCGAGGGGTCTCTCGTCGGCAACTGCGGCGAGGATGGGGTTGAGGGGCTCGGGGGCGAGAAGGCTGTCAATTTCAGGAATGAGTTCGGTCAAAATTTCGGTAGGGAGTCGAGCAACATTGGTGTCAGTCGAACGCATGGCGACGGGCTTGTTATCGTCCAGACACCACGCTTTGTGCGTTTCCGTCGTCTCCCATCGTCGGAGGTGCTCGAAGCCGCTGAGTGTCACCGAGGGGATGGGAGGGTTCATGTCGCCGAGTTGCATAGGGCCGCTGGGCCTGTGGGTAAGAACCGCAGCAAAGTGCTTGGTGAGCTTCTCGGCCCTCTTCACAACAGCGGCAGTGGGTCTGTTTTCCCACAAATCCATGAAGCCGACAAAGAAGTCAGGGCGAGTTTCACGCTCCTTGGTGCACCTGGCGATGACGGTACGGAGCGGTACCGCACTGAAGTAGTCTCGGCGATGGCCATCGGGAAGGATCAAACCATTCTCCATGATGAGGCCGAGAATATGGCTGAGGGGATCTTCTTGAGCTTCGGGTTATCAAAGGGCGTGACGATGACGATGGGCACATTGAGCCGCAGCAGGTCGCAAGCCAAGTCGTCAATCATCTGCAGGCTTATCGAATCGTCGATGCGGAGAGCCAAGCAAGCGGCGCCGGAGTCAAGGTGGATAGTTGCGAGTTGGCGGGCGGCCGATGCTACTGATTTCTCGGCGGGAATCTTGGCAAAGATCGTATCGAGCCTTACAAGAGGCATAACCGAACGCTTGTCGTGGCTGGTATGGTTTCGCCAAGGTGCCGACTCATGTCGGTTGGAGGCGGTCCATTCGACAATGGCGAGATCATGTTCGTTGATGGCGGCGCGCACCTCGTCGGTGCCCTGGATATAGCAGAAGGAGGTAATAGGCTTGGGGAGGTGGTCGTGGAGGTCCATGCCTGGCGACTCTCCACGTCGTTGCACAACATCGTCGTCGACCCTAGAAATTTCGATCATGTAAGTAGGCGTGCCAAGGTCATGCCATGACTCAAGACTCTTGGCTAAGCCGGGGGCGAAAAGACGACGACAAGAATCCAAGACTGTACAAAAAGAACAGAGAGACCTACTTTGACGGCGGTTGTTTTCGAGAATCCAGTATTTTCAGCAGCCTTTCTATCACCCACGACAGAACGGGGAGGCAGAGGGCGGCGGCGCCGACGGAGACCAGGAGGATCTGGTACCAATTGCTGAACCGCCTGTCGTTCTTGATGAGGCTATTACAGTAAATCTCGAAGCCCGAAGTATCGCATTGTTCGAGCGCGGGGTCGCCGGACGCGGGCGGTTGGAAGAACGAAGCCATTTCCGAGGCTCGCGGGCAAAGATGCCCTTACCAAGTGAGAGGACGTGATCACGGCCGCAAGGTGGATCAGAGAAGATGCGGGCGAGGAGAAGGTTAAAAGCGAACGGAAGCTACCGCATACTCGTCCCAAAAACAATAACGGGCACACAGAGTATGGCAGAGAGGGGCCAGATAGGCATTCAAGGGGAAAAAAAGAAAGAAAACAGAAGCAAGGGTCTGGGGGTAATAGGACGAAGCGAGCGGCGGTTTGGGTAAATGAAGGGGAAAAATAATTAAGATACTGAATGGAGAGGTGGAACGAGTGAAGGGTCGAGCGGCGAGGTTGGAACCGCCACAGGACAAGTGCGGAGGAATTCAGTGTTTAGACAAGATTCATGTCAATCCATGTAGCCAAAAAACGCATTCCCCGACCATGTATCAACGCCGCAAAAGCATGCAGAGCGAACGAACGTTGCAAAAGGGGAAGAGTTGCTCAATGGGCTCGACGCTTTTTTTTTTTTTGGTGCCTCTGCAAGTAGTGGCCGTGCAGCTCAAGCTCGCCACACACACACAAACACTGACAAGAACCACGGTTCACGGGAGCTTGACTCGTAAAGCGACAAAGGGGGAGGCGGGCACTGCTAGGACGCGAGCTGGCGAGGTAAGGGAAAGGGGGCGTGGGTATTGTGGGCTGTGGCTTCCCCATCTTTTGGCTCTTCGTTTACCCTTCGGCTCGAAGGGGGAAAGAAGAGTCGAGAAAAGGCGGGACCAATATCGGAGTCACTTGGACGGCCAGCACGGCCGAGACCCCGATGAGGGACTCGCCAGAAAAACAGCGGAAGCATGCATTGACGTTTGGTGTCTTTTGGCCATCACCAAGAAGTCAACCGTATTACGCTACTCCACTATGATCAGAATACGGCATTCCGCACTTTTATCGCCCCTTTCCCTGAACGCATCCTCCGTTCCCTGAATTAGGCTGCACCAGGCGAATACGGTATAGCACAAAGATCGAAGATCGAGCGGTTTTGCGTTGGTTCATGGTGGTGAATCCAGGTACCATGCATCCCATCAGCTTTGGCCACCTCGCAAGGAAGGAGGGGATGGGAAAGGGGGATGGGAAGTGAAAAGGGGAGAAGAAAAAAAGAAAAAGAAAAGAAAAGAAAAAGAAAAAAAGAAGAGAAAGAAAAAGAAAAAGAAAAGGAAAAAGAAAAAGGAGAAAAGAAAAGGAAGAAAAAGAAAAGAAAAAGAAAGCTGCAGGCGGTGGGTCAAAGTGGGTATTGACCAGGGATGTGGGGTGGGTCATCCAGTCGCCAGTTCAGGAGGTGTTGGTCTAGGCTAGTTCCGGGAAACTGCAAACTCTTGCAGGGGCCAGGAAGCAACTGAATAGCCACTGGGGGTTGGAAGGGGGTGGGAAAGGGGAGACAAGAACAAGGTGCTGATTGTGCCATGTGGACCAACCAGTCCGCTCGGATAGATGGGAGAGGCGCTTGGTTGGGAGAGAAGTCAGCAATATCACAACTGCAAGGATTCTCGCAAAATTCGGATGGGTCGTTTTTAGGGTATGGTTTATTTTCAAGTCATCCATTTCCTTCAGAAAAAACAAAAACAGGTGAGGTTCTCCGTTTTTCTCCTCGCCGTTGCGATGAAGTGGCTTTCTTCACAAATGTACTTGTATGGGTGTGGGATTGGGGGAAGACGTCAGTCGACTGTGAGGGTATCAAACAAAGTGTGCTGCGGTGTCATCCGGTTCAGCCAGCAGCCCATTTGGCGCACGAGGATTTGTGTTCAAGGCAGAAGACGTGCTAAACTATGGAGGCGGCGGCAGCTCCACTCCAGGCCACAGAGTGCACCCACCCAAGGGAGAGGTGGTCGTGGATTCATGAAGCAAACTAGTCAGCAGGCCTGGTGGACAAGGCGGACGCGGCACTGGACAAAGAGATCTTCGTCATCTTCGTCCTTTTTCGTTATGAATGTGGGGAAACAGCGGCATTCTTCCCGCTCTCTCAAAGACGTGAATTAATTAGCATCTCGGGTGAATCTGGGGATGGGTGGCATCGATCTCCTCGCTGCCGTGGCTTCGAATACACGAGTGGGCCGGACCAAGCAACGCGCGATATCCTCTCCGCCAACTCTGGACATGCACTACGCCGCCACCACCAATACTCTGTGTGCCGAGCCAGTATGGTGGGCGAAAGCGCCCTCTCGGGTGCAGCCATGATCCTCACTCATAATACTACGATGGGCCACGCCACGTCTCTGGTACAGCGGTCACGAACAAAAAGGCCAGAGAGAGAGAGGGGGCCAGCGGAAAAAAGGATTCAGGCCGCGAAGAGCGCTGAAGGAGAGTACCAAGCCGGGCTTCGGCTGAGGCCCCCATCAATTTCGTCACCAAAGACTGGCTCCTGGGGGATTTGCGCCATATTGGCTGAATGCGGCAAAAGCGAAATCGTGAAAGGCAAAGAAAGCGAGCGATGGGGAAGTCGGAGTCGGGCGGGCAATAATAGCAGAGAAAGTGAGAGAAAAGAGAAAACGAAAGAAGAAAAAAATCAACCAATACCAAGAAAACGGGACAGGGAGTGGTAACCGCCAAGGACGAGGTCGGCGGCAGCGGTGCTTCGTCGCACTCAGCCCAAAATCAAAGGCGTCGGTGAGCGAGCCTCGAGTGTGCGGAGGGTGATGCTCCCTACCTCTTCTCACCCAGCCCACACGTAGCGAGACAAGGCAGGGGTCGAGCGAGGAACTAGTGTAGGCTGACCCTTGGCGCCACTGGCTTGACTTTCTCCAACGTGGTTTCAGGCGGGCGTTTCCCAAAGCTTGACCTACTGGCCCATCCCTTGGCGAGAACCCGGACGAGAACGGCGAGACTGGGCTGCTCCGAACATACATTGCTGGAATTATTCCAGCTTCGCTCTGCCCGAAAAGACTCGCTCGCATCGAGTAGCCCAAGGGACAGGAGAGGCGGCAGAATCCATTTCCGGCGAAGCGCACTTGGTTGGTCGTCGAGTCGGAAGGTCGATCCTCCACCGGTGCTGGTGCTGGTGCTGGCGCTGGAGCTGGCCATTTCCAGCTGATTAATTGAAGCTGCACATTTCAGACGCTGCAGCGAGATTGTGGCGTGTGTTGCGCAGATTGATTTCTGGCATTGTTCTCATACGCTGGCAAAATACGAGGTTTGAGATATTCCCCTCCGCGAAGCAACCACGACCCACCAAACAGTTTCTGCCCTTGCTCAATTTTCCAAGGCTCGGGAGGCGAGAGATGTGGGGAGAAAAGCCCGAGAGGGCTCATACATTATTGCATGTAATACAGTGGGACAGTGGGCGACACATTGGGTCGAGACTCATTGGAGAGGCGGTAGCGACGTGACAAGAAGAAAAAGAATGATACGAACATCCATGTCAGAAATGGTGAGCAAGCCCAGCCTTCACGGGCAGAATTTTACGCCTTTGCAGCGTCTTTCCGCCTCACATTCGACGTCGAATTACCGCTGCAAGAATGTCGTGAGCAACCCCATTTGTGTTCTGCGCCGACTTTAAGAGAGAAAGGTCCTGCCTCGCCTTATTCATACACTGCGCCGCCTCATGCCCGTGGATCGCGGGGTCCGAGGATCAGTGTATTCTCCGAAAAGGCGGGGGCGGAGGCGGATTCCCAGAAGTGAGGGCGTGGCTGCCACAGCTGCCACAGGAACAGTAGGGTCTGCCAGCCACTGAGACAGGTCTCACCCAAATTAAGAAGAAAAAGGAATGAAAGAAGAAAGGACGAAGGAAAGAACATTAAACTGTGAGACAAGGAAAGATCAATCGATGGATGGGCGGGAAAGGGGTTGAACAACTGCGCTTAAGGGATGCAGTGCAGAGAGAGGTGCCAATTATCCCCATTGGGTATACGCCAGGTTCGCTTTACCAGAGGCTAGGGCAGGCCGATCCTCAACTCCTTCGCCGGCTGTCAAAGGGTAACTCAAACGCCATTCGCACTTACTGCATCGCAGTCTCACCGGATCCAGCTAGGGAAATAAATGGAGTCCCTGCATCACCAAAGATTGACTGAAGGGTGGGGTGAACATTAGATGTCTTGGATCAACGTCGCCGATCTTGGGTCGAGCACGCGGCTCTTGGGCTTTAACTCTATCGGGCGGTTTTCTCTAGTATCAAGACTCCAAAAAAGAAGATATCGGCAAACAGAGTGATATAGAGATGGTGATGACGCCCCCGGCTACAAGCATCCGGGAGAAGAGAGGGAAGAGCGGTGAAACAATCAGATGGCGGATTCCTCGACGTTTGACAGGACAAAAGGAACAGGCAGAAAAAAAGAAAGAAACTAGCAAAAAAGGAAACAAGGCGCGCAAGATCAAAGGAAAGTGGGGGTAAAGATTGAAAGAATGAGAGAAAGAAGACCAAAAAGGTGATAGCAGCATCACAAACAGAGCAAGAAAAGAAAAGAGAAGGGAAAAAGAAAAAGAAGAATAAAAGAGGAAGAAGAAAAAGAAGAAAAAGAAACGTATGTCGAGGAAGGCTTGTCGATCGAAAAAAAAAACGGCGAATTTCACACTGGAAATAGAAAGAAAGCAAAAGCAAGTTCCTAGGTGGCGCTTGCCACGCCTGTGATGACCACAACTGCCCCTTCAAAAGAGGTTGGACGCGGTTGTGCTGGCAAGATTGCATGAAATGACTGGACAACGCATCATCGACGAGTGGCACCGAGTCAGGATTCTCGGGTTGGCATAACCGATGCAGGCAATCACTCAATTTTCACCCAACTATCCTGCGGTATGTCGTTGAGAAGATGAGGCTAGCTCCAAGAGAAAAAGAAGGAAAAATTCCTAAGAATAAACCTGACCCCACCCTCGCTTTTCACAGAGGTGGATGGCATGGCCAACCGACCACGGAATGATGACGATGCTTCAGCACAAAGGCGCGCAAAGGCGGGGCAGTCAGCAGAAAACCCTTTTTTTTTTTTTTTTTCCTTCACTTCCTCGATCCGCAACCGGACAGGCCATGTCATGTAGGTCTGTTGGTGTT